CAGTTTTGGGATTTTGGATGTTGGTTTTAGAGGGAAGACCAACGTACCAAAGTACCAAAGCTGCACAGATCTATGTCCCCAGAGTGGCTGAGGTCAAGCCATGGGGTTTGTGCAGTTTGGGAGTTCTTGTGCTTTGGTTTGCGAGAGGGAACCTAACAAAGTACCAAAGTACAAAAGCTGCAGACCCGATGGCCTAAAGTACCAAAGTACCAAATCTGCAGACCCCATGACCTCGGGAACCAAAGTACCAAAGTACCAAAACTGCACACCCGATGGCCTAAAGTACCAAAGTACCAAATCTGCAACCCCATGACCTCGGAAACCAAAGTACCAAAACACCAAAACTGCAGACCCCATGACCTCGGGAATCAAAGTACCAAAGTACCAAAACTGCACAGACCTGAGATTTGCCAGCAACTCAAAAGAAAAGGAAGCCGGCACAATGCCCACAACCTTCATCCGAAAAAACGAACAACAGCTCCCAAGTAAGTCTCCCTATTCGAAGAAAGGGGTCCACACATGTTTCGGCACAAAGGCTCCCAACCAGGGTGACCCTTCAGCTCTAGCTCTCCTTGTTTTTTGGTTCTGACCCTTTGGAGTGGGAAGACCTGTGGCCCCAAGCCGGCACAAACAATCCAGCCCATGCCAAACAAACTAATCAACCAAGGAAAGCAAGACTAGCCTTTGGTCAACAAGTTACAAGGCCAAAACGAGAAACCATCCCCCAAGCGGAGGGATGGTGGGGCTTTAAAAGAACAAGTCCAAGCCAACGCCAGAGAAAAACAACCTTGGCGCAGGCTCACACAAGCGCCACGGAAACCCTCTGACGACCGGCTCACCTGGAGACGAGGAAGGTGCTGGTTCCTATCCAGTTCACTCCTAATCTAACCACTAGCCGTTGCCTACAAATCCCCTTTCGTTGGACGCCCACGTCCGCCCCATATGTCGCCAGAGTGGATATGGTCAGGTCATGGGGTCTGCAGTTTTGGTACTTTGCTGCTTTGGTAGTCGAGATAATTTAATAGCAGGTGGTTTTTTTGGGGGCTAGCATCTATATATATATATATATTTACTTTTTTGAGGACCATCGAAAAAGCAACATCAGCAAATGTCTCAAGAGAAAAGCCAAGAAAGACACACGCGATCTATGTCCTTGCCACATCTTAAAGCAATTTCATCGGCGAGGCTTTTGGACACAAAAAGCAAGTCTTTAGACGTTTAGTTTTTAAGCACTGTCATGCCTCTTCCTTTATTGTTTCCCTTCTTACTTTCTTTTTCTCTGTCCTTCCAAGCAGTTCTTCTCACGACTTCAAAAGCACCCCACTTCCAGCCTGTGAGAGCCCCTCTTGCTTATCCAGTCGCACGCACGCTGGTTCAAAGGAATAGCCATCTGGTGGGCTTCCAACTGCTGGGTTCCTTAGGCTTCAAGTCTTAGCGACGGCCTCCAACCTAGGAACAAGTGCATCGCTTCTAGTAACAAGTGCCTTACTAGTAGTAACAAGAAGCTATTAGAAACAATAAAAAGGAAGAATAGCATCCTTTACTACTAGCTTCTTGTTACTACTAGTAAGGCACTTGTCACTAGAAGCGATGCACTTGTTACTAGTAGCTCCTTGTTACTATTAGAATTAAGCTTAATTAACGTTTAATTATTAGAATGCATTTTTTACACGTACAAAATGCTGGGTTCCTGAGGCTTCAAGTCTTAGCGACGGCCTCCAACCGTTCGTAGCGTCCGATCGCTCCGTTCGTAGCGATGCCCTTTGTTACGTTCGTAGCGAACATTGTTCCTAGTAGTAAGGCCAGGAGCGCCCCGATCGTAGCGTCCTTGTTACTAGTAGTAACAAAGCATCCTAAAGAAACAGAGTTCTTGTAAGAACTTGTTTTCTGCCCTCCTTTTGTTTTCTTACTTGATCTTGTTTTCCTTTTCGTTCGCAAGAAAAGCTTCGATTCTTGAGTCGGGAAGCACTTCCTTGACTAATTAAACTTTTGCGATCTTACTTCTTCAATTTGTAACTGCAAGACTTTGGACCTTTATTTTTTTTCTGGCTTTCACGACCTTCTGGATTCGTGCTACAAGAACACGCCTAAAACTCCAAAAGAACTAGACTTGGCTAAAACCCCATTGTGCTCCCTCTTGAATCGTGATGAAGTCCTCAAGGTTCTTGTCTTAGCAATGGCCTCGAACCTACTAGTGATGGCCTCCAAAAAGGGTTCCGTCTTTTTCGAACGCCAAGCTACAGCGGCAGCTTCATGGTGATAGGCGGATCGAGGTTCGACCGCTCGAGCAACGTGTCGCAGCGCTTGATCTCCAGCGAACTCACCGTGGCATTTGGGTGCACATAGCGGTTCAGACCCAAATCGCCTCATTCAAACTTGAAAAAAAACATTCTAGGACAAAAAAGGATGAAACAGAAAGAACAGGTCTAACGATTACTAACATATGTTGTCTTGTGAAGCGGCTCGGATTCTTTCTTTCTTTCTTTTTCTCCTCGCCTTTTCTGTTCTCCTTAAGTGCGTCGGCATAGGGGGCTGGTAAATTTGCTGCCCAGTTGAACGGGGTGTTCCGGTTGACCCAGTTGACCCGGTTGAACCCAGTTGATCCAGTTGACCCGATTGACTTTGTGTGAGTGGTAGTGGTAGGAGTAGTCGTCGTGGTGGTGGTGGTTCGCCGGGGTCAACTGGGTCCTGAGATTTAGCGTGGCCCCCTGTGCGGTCGCAATGTTCTCCTTCCTTTCTTTGGCACAAAGGACGCCTTTTAAGGAGGGCCAACAAAGTAACTCTAACTTTCCAGCCCTGAAGTTGCAAAAGGAACTCGACTCTATGCAATGGAAAGGCGTGGCTGAAGCGACTTGGATTGCTTGTTTCCAAACTCTGCTTTGCATGTTTTGTCAAACTCTTTGAACTCACCAAGCTGCTTTCGAACAGGTAGCTGAAGGGATTGCCTCACACAGACATGGACAACAGGCCAACAACTTGCACAGCGGTGCTGCCGTCATGACTGCTAAATCCACCCTATCAACATGGCAATCAAAGGCGTCAAGAGTCCTACTCCAACAGCAGGGGTTCTCCTTAAATAGTCCCTCCCCAAACCCCTATCTGATTGAATTGTTTCTAGATGTTTCTAGGTGGACTGGTGGCTTGGGAGTAGACACTCCAGGTCGGCGACTCTCGCATCGTTCTAAGCACACTCGGCCATGAGGCCTGAATCAACAAAGCAAGACATATTAATATTTCGGCTCTAGCTATTGTTTTCGGTTTGGGATACGTTCTTTAAAACAGCCTTTCTTGGTTTGAATCCACTAGTTATTAGTTTGGAGGCCATCGCTATCAATTTGTTTCTAGAAAGATTTCACTACAAGTAGCGTTCGAATGCTTCGATCGGGACACCTGGCCTTACTAGGAGCAAAAGGGCATCGCTACTCACGGAGTAAGAGGATGCCTAGTAGCTTATTGTTTCTAATAGCTTCTTGTTACTACTAGTAAGGCACTTGTTACTAGTAGCGTGGCACTTGTTCATCGTTCGTCGCGTTTTTCGTTCACTCGCCCGGACTTGCGACACTCGTGCCGCGGAACTGCGCAGGAAGGTCATGGTCTGCACAGCCAAAGAGTTGCACTCGCTTTGCAACCGCCGGCCCAGAGCTGAGCCCGGAATCTCAGTGTTGGGCATGGATCTTAGGGTGGCTGCTTCTAGGTTGGAGGTCATTGAAGAAATCGAGTTCTTTCACGAAAGCAATCAAGCAAAGTAGCTCCAAATTTCTAGAGGCCACAATAGTGCCTTCCATACACAATGCTTCAGTGTCGTAGCAGGAAAGAGAAAGAATAGAATTGCTAAGAGAAACGATAGGTTGGAAGACGCCATTGCTATTGGGGAACTAACACCTTAAGTTTCCCTCAAATTGGAGCCAAATCAAAAACGCGCGTCCTAAGTAGTAGCCGTGGGTACTAGCTACCTCTGCTACTAGCTGCCAGCTACCGCTACTAGCTACCTCTAGCTACGAGCGGCCTACCCCCCCGGGCTTCAAAAAACAAGTCTTTCTTAGCAGCTTCCTTGCTCCTAGTAGCGATGCCCTTTGTTCCTAGTAGCGATGCCCTTGTTACTACTAGTAAGGCACTTGTTAGTAGAAGCGATGCACTTGTTACTAGTAGCTTCAAAAAACAAGTCTTTCTTTTGTTTTTCTTCGTGTCACGTCTGCATCTTCCGCTGCCTGAGTGTCCAGGGAGGTGATCCCAAACTCGGCAGCTGTGCTCGCCAACTCCTTGAAGACGGAAAGTTCCTGAACACAAACGAAGTAAAACAAAAACATCAAGAAACGAGAGCACGTGAAAAGCAAGAAAACGTAGTTAGACCTAGTCTTAGGTCTTCAAATCTTGATGTGTTAAATTTGTTTCTTATTAGATTATAGGAAACTTGACTGGTTCCTTTTTTTTTTAGGCCTTAGACCTTTCTTTCTCCTTTTCCTCTTTTGATGTACTACGTGAAAATTGTTCCAGAATCGGCGCGCTCTTCCAAAAGGGCACCTACTCCAAAGAAAGTCGGAAGATTCGAGGCCGTAGCCAGCAAAGAGGTTCTAGCACTAATCCAATTTGCAGGTCTTCGAGTCGTTTGCTAGGGCCAATAGGGGCGGCATCGCTACGAACGGAGCGACGCTACAAACTACTAAGCTCAATTAAGTAGCTTCTTAGGCCGCCTCTACAACAATCCGCCGTTTTTTGTGGCCACAGCGAAGGGGTCCCCAGCCAAGCAGCGCTGAACATGTTGCTTTCCCCTTGTCCGTTGATCGAGGTTGATAAGGAAAGCAACTCCGAGGATACCAGCATAAAATTACCACCACTGATTACTTGGAGTGGCCAAAAACCACGTTTTCCGGTTCTTGGTCCTTTTGGCGCGACTCCGATTTTCAAACTTTTCTACTGTGTTGCTTGTTTCGTGTTCGGTGCTGTGAAGTGTTTCGTTTGTCTTTTCTGAAGCAAAAAACCTCACCACGCGAGGTTGGAACAAACCGCCATGTCTCTGTGCCCGTGCCGTCGCTCGCCACAGAGGCGATCTCCGTGGTCTGGCCGTCAGCCAGCTGCAGCAACAGTGCGGTGCCCAGCTTGGAGAACTCAGCACAGTGAGTTGCACGGAGTGCACGACGATCTCAACGAAGTGCTCAAGTGCGATCTTGATCTCTAGAAACAGGAAGCTACTAGGGTGGAGGCCATCGCTCAATAAAGTTTTCTTGATCTAGAAAGAGGCCATCGCTAGGAAGAGGAAAAGTGAAAAGTGTGTGACTAAAGATTTCTCCACGGGTTCTTCAATCCTTTCTGAGGGCCAGTTCCACAAGCAAGAAAGACAGGACAATCAGAAAGGAGAACACCCGTTCGCCACAAAAGTTGGCACAAACATCAAACATCACATCTAGTTCGCCTGTCACCGGAGCAGCTTCACGTTTTCGCAGTGCCTTTGCACCCAGTATCCACCCCTTTTCACCGGGACACCAGCGTCTGCAGCTTGGCGGTTTGCGCTTCACGCTCCACTGTCGAGCTGTTGACACTCTGGAAGCTTTCGGCCACCGCGGAGGTGGCACGCAACAGCGACAAGCCGGCAGCAGGGTTCACGCCTTGGTCGTGAACCCAGGGCGGGCATCACCCCTCTTTCGAAAAAGAAGACTTCACGACACTCTGTCTGCTTGGTGTCTTTTGTGTGCATGTGCAACAAACTGAAATGGTTTTCAGGTAAATCTCAAACAAAAGAAGATGAAGTTGTTTCTTACCTCTAAAATTCAGAACTAGAACCTGTTTGTTCATGTGAAAAGAGGTGTTCATGTTCTTTCGAAAAGAGTCTTTTGCCACTTTGTGCCACTCATGTGCTACGGCCCAGCCTTGAAATGAAAGCGAGACCTCAGTGAGCGGTGTGGGCAATGGAAAGGTAGTAATGATCAGTAATTCCATTCGCTGGCACCTTAGCCCGCTCTTAGGTTGGAGGCCATCGCTCTTAGGAGGCTATCGACAGTATCTACCTCTTCAAAGCTTTTCAGCTGCTACTTGTGGGGGCTACTGGATTCAAAGTCACGGCGCCCGTGGGTTGGAGGGAGAGGGTTTTGAAAACCTTTTCCAGACTCCGAATGTCAAGAACTGATTCCAAACAACCTACCCAACATGCAACTACTGGCACACTCGAAGGATGCGTGATTAAACTATTCAAACAGATAAAAGCAAAAAGATCACAAGACAAACGGAGAGAAAACACTTGTTTGGGTGGTGAGGCCATCGCTACTGGGGTGGAGGCCATCGATAGGATGCTCCCATGCTCTTCTCACTCCGAGAAGTTCAGAAAGACATGCCCCGGTCAAAAATCCTCATCTCCACTTTGAGATAAAGAACATAAAAGAAGAAGAAAGGAATTGAAAAAAGATACAAGAAATTGTTCTTTTCATCAGTTCATTCTCCGCGGCACATCCAGTGCTGTTTCCACAGCAGTGGAGACCTGTTCCGTGACGGCCGTCAGTGCTGCGCTGCTGGTGGCAGTGACTTCAGCGGAGGCGGTCGTTGTGGGCAGCACCCGGGTCATAACGTCACCAAAGGTGATGAGACCTGCAGACCAGAAGGAGCGATCGGACGCTACGAACGGCGCTCCTGGCCTTACTACTAGGAACAAGAAGCTACGAACCTAACATGCGAAATACATGCAAACCGACGCGAACGAAAGGGCGCGGTTTGCAAAAAAGAAGGACCTGAAAAAAACGGAAGGTTCGAAAGGAAGGTTCAAGAAACCTCAGAAGATCCAGAAAAGAACGGAACACAGGCTTGGAAAAGGCCAAGAACGGACTCAGTGGCGAAAGGAATCTTTCCAGCTCCACGTTGATTGAATGGAGGAAACAGTCTTAAAAAAGACTTGGCAACAAGACTACGACTACGCACTTTTAATTCGATTCATCTTATTTGGTGGCCTCTTCACTGGCTTCTAATCGATTAAGTTGGCTTTGGATGCGGAGGAATCAAAAAGGCTTCGGGTTCTGGATTTTACCACGGTTTGGCCCTCGATAAGTTGGCCACCTAAGGGCACCGTGCATTACCACGGATCCCGGATACCCCTTGAGATCGGGCAGCTCGTTTCTCGTGCTTCTCAGCAGTCTGTTCTGAGTCCACTTTCAGCGATGACCTTTTGTGCACTCAGCTCTAGAGCTGGGTACGACCTACGTATGGTGATGAATTTGCATTTGCTCAAGCGATCGTATTCCATGCCAGTTATCATGTCAAGTTGGGTGGCACACTTTTCAGCAAGTGCTTTCGGGTGGATTTCTCGCATGAAAACATGCCCAATGAATTGGGACCGCCGACAACATATGGCCAATGTGGCCATTGAAGATGAGAGATATTTTCTTGCCCAAACGGTTTCAGATCATGAACCCCAATCCACTGCCATCCAGGAAGTTGACGACAAGCGCAAGACAAGCGACATGCCGCACAAACATGAAAGAGAGAGAGAGAGAGCTAACTTCAGAAGCACTTCCTAAAACAACACTGAAAAACACATCTCAACAAAACATATAGACTTTATTAGGTTGGAGGCCGTCGCTGCCGTCGAGGTGGGAGGCCAATTGGACCGATTCTCCTTTTTTCGCCGAGCCACTCTCCATAGATGGCCCCATGACGTCTGCCGCTGCGCCTACGGCCTTGCGGAAGCCCGTGGCGGAATCTTCCAATGAACCTAGTAGCTTCTTGTTCTTAGTAGCGATGCGAGGAGCTACTAGTAGCTTCTTGTTACTGATTCATCGAAAAAAATAACGAAAGGAAAGCTATTGCCTGGAGGCCCTCGCTAGTAGGTTGGAGGCCATCACTTCTAGAGGAACAAAAAACATGAAAAAAACAAAGAAGAAACGTTGTTCTTCCTGTGAAGAGTGAATGGCTCTCCGAGAGATGAACGATTGAACGGCCCTCTTCTGCGAGAATGCCCTTCCTATCCTTCCAAAACTATCACTGCCACCAGAATGTAAGTCTAGAGATAAAACAGTGGACCGGGTGGACAATCTGAGAGAATACAAAGGACCTCTCTAGCACTGAGGACTTTGTTTCAATACCACACGCACAGGACGTCGACTTCAGCTCACAAGGACGCGATGAGCCTCCGTCTGCTTCTCGATGACTGCCACCAATTCGGCCGAGTTGTTGGTGATCTGAGACGAGGGCGCATGGGCGCATGGCGGCGGACAGCCCGCTTTGCGAAGCCTTGCTATCTCGTCTTAGTTGCTTTCCTTTGCTACTAGGAGTACGCTTTTCTTTCTTTCTTTCGACTGTTAGACATGTTCTGTTTCTCGCACAAGCAGACCCACTCTTTGTCCAAGCAGCCACGTCCACTGAAGCGATCGAATCCAAGGTGTGCAGTATAGGAAACTCATCACTTCGCGCGAGAGCTAAATCCAGGAATCGAAGTGCCATGTCCGCAGTCACACCGCCTGGGAGGGAGCCGTTCGGTTCGCGTAGCGTCCGATCGCTCCGTTCGTGGTTTTGGGCCAGGAGCCCCGTTCGTAGCGTCCTCTTGTTCCGTTCGTAGCCTGGGAAGTGGATTTTGAAAAGAGTCTGAATAGTGGCAAGACCAGCTCCCTGGTTGGAGGCCATCGCTAGTAGGTTGGAGTTCCCAATCTCCGCTCTGCCCGGCTCTGCCCGGCTCTGCTGCTCTGCCGCTCCCTGCCTGCGGGAAGTTCCACCAAAGGTCCAGGGGCATATGCTGCGGACACAGCTCCTGCATAGCAAGGCGCAAGGTACTCACTTGCCAAAAACACGTGCATTTGTCAGAAGACTGATGGAGCCAAACATAACACTTTGTGCAGCAGGCTGTACTGGATTGGATTGGACCTGACGTCCAGGTATTATTGTGATACTTCTAGTAAAGTGGTAAAGAGTAGTACAGGCGGCATGTGCAAGTGGAGCCCGGTCCTAATCTGTCACGTGCAACCACTGCCATAACATAGGACCCAGCTGCAATCTGGCAGGTTTCGACTGTATTGCGAATCAGGAACTGTCAGTCAGGAACTGTCAGTAACCTCATTACTACTATGCTAAGTATTAGCAATTTTGTGTTTTGAGGAAACAGAGACGAATCAGCGAAGCGGCAAGACTCTCGTCCGTGTAGCGATAGAACATCTCCTCATCTCCATGTACATTTGTTTTAAATGCAAAGAGTAACAAAAAGGAGTAAGACTGGAACAAGAGAGTGACAAAACACGGCAGACTTTAATTCCTAAGTTTCGTTCCTTTCTTCACCTTTTCTCTGTGTTTCCTTTCTTTTTGCCCTTTTCTTCAGACCTTTGTTTCTTTCTTGTTTCCTTCCTTTCTTCCTAAGTCTGGAATGCCACCTCACCCTAATAAGCGCCTTTCCATCTAGAGCATGTCCTCCTTCCGTGTCTTTAACACCTTCAATTCCCGGAGTGAAACGAGGTAGGGTGAAGGCCAACGCTATTAGGGCCATCGCTATTAGACTTAACTAGCCGAGTAGGAAGGGGTATATAAGTAGTTTCTTTGAAGAAGCGCGAGCTCTCACGCGATTGTTCCTAGTAGCTTCTTGTTTCTAATAGCTTTCTTGTTACTCGTAGCGATGCACTTGTTCCTAGTAGCGATGCCCTTGTTTCATGCGTCCTGCCGGTAGTAGCGACCTCCGCCCCCGAGCCTGAAGATCCCAAAGTGCGGCCGAGGGGTCGGTGACGTTCGCCAGGAACGTCCCTCCGACGCTTCCACCCAATTTCGCCCAATAGTTGGGACTGGTGGAGTTGGTATAGTCCTCGTCAAGCAACGCTACGAACGGAACTAAGGGCATTGCTACGATCGGGGCTCCTGAAGCTACGAACGGGGCGCTCCAGGCCTTACTAGTAACAAGAAGCTTATAATCCTCAGCATCAGCAAAGAACACGTTCTTGTTCAGAAAACAGGTTCCAAGTTGCATCTGGCTACTAAGCAATTGTTTGGAAGCTTTTTGTGTAGCCGCAGCCTTTGTCTGGAAACACAAGAGTGCAATCTTGTATGTCCTTTCTTAACAATTGTTGTGAATCAACGCTAAAAGGTACGCGATCTTGGCCTTGAAGAGAAGAAAAAAAGACACGTCCAATGGAGTCTAAGAAAATAGAATTGAAGACAAAGAACCACTGGAAACAACATGCTTAAAATACTATCCTCTAATACTATCCTTTAGTCTAGAAACCATTTCGACAAAGAAGCCGGAGAAGCTTTCTTGAACGCACAAAACGAAGCCTGCCCTGCTGGCCTTCCCTAATTTTCTTCCAATCCGTGATGAAACAAATAAGAGTGCGCAAAAAGCAATAAAACTGCAAAAAAGCATGAATTGTTTCTGTTGTCAAATATTTTTGTATTATGTGTCTAGACACCGTGTGTTAAATCTTTTGCAATTCAATTAGAAGAGTTTTGTTCTGCTCTTTTCGTTTACCACTTCGTTTACCACTTCTTCTTTCCTCTTTCGTTCGGTCGTCCGGTCCCTCACACCGCGGTTGGTCACCCTGTCGTCTCCAAGGTGCCACCATGGGTGGCACGAAGGTGCCATCGATCGCCAGCGATCCTGGCAGACGGTGAGCACAGACGGTGCTGAGCAGGTACTAGTAGGCGTCGTAGG